AGTTAATCAGATCTCAATAGAGCTAAAGAGCTAATTTATGAATGATTACACAGCTTTAATTGTTTACATTTTCTCATGTAACAACTTAATGCATCTGAGTGCCTGTTTCAAACGTATATTTTACAAGAATTCAGATGAATATTTAACATATATAAAAAATTGCCTTATGAATCGTTAAAACACATCTAGCAATAGTTGATACTGTAGATTATCAGTAAGGCATTAGAAAACATAATGGTTGCAAGGTTGTAAATAAAAGAGTGTCCATCTAAAGCGGCTGTCAGGCTGTCCTTAGGAATACTGTTGCTATGAGCTAAATAGTAACATGAACATTTAAACATGTAGATATGATGTTTAACATGTTCACCATGTAGTTAAGCCTATACGGATATTACAATTCCCAATAGGCACTTAATACAGAGTACAGCTGGGCTGATGGGAATGTATTAGGCAAATTCAAAATGTTATCTCATGATGGCGCTACACAAAGTTAGGCAATATTCTTCTGAAAGGGGGCAGGGGTCAATCATTAAGATCCATCCTTTGGGTATCATTAATGTTTGTACACAATGTTATGGCAATTCATCAATAAAGACAAGTGTCACCATCATTTATCCAACAATCCAATGATTTGTCTTTAAACATTGCATGCATCATGCAGGTCAAAGTGGAGCAGGAAATAACTGGGCCAAGGGTCACTACACCGAGGGCGCTGAGCTGATGGACTCGGTACTGGACGTGGTGAGAAAGGAGTCTGAGAACTGTGACTGCCTGCAGGGCTTTCAGCTCACCCACTCCCTGGGTGGAGGCACAGGTTCAGGTATGGGTACGCTGCTCATCAGTAAGATCCGCGAGGAGTACCCTGACCGCATCATGAACACCTTCAGCGTCATGCCTTCCCCAAAGGTGTCCGACACTGTGGTGGAGCCCTACAACGCCACTCTCTCCGTCCACCAGCTAGTGGAGAACACGGATGAGACCTTCAGCATTGACAATGAGGCCCTGTACGATATTTGCTTCCGCACCCTGAAGCTGACCACACCTACCTACGGAGACCTCAACCACCTGGTGTCGGCCACCATGAGTGGGGTGACCACCTGTCTGCGCTTCCCTGGCCAACTCAACGCTGACCTCCGTAAGCTAGCTGTCAACATGGTGCCATTTCCTCGCTTGCATTTCTTCATGCCAGGCTTTGCGCCCCTCACTAGCAGGGGCAGTCAGCAGTATCGCGCCCTCTCCGTGCCAGAGCTCACACAGCAAATGTTCGATGCCAAGAACATGATGGCAGCCTGTGACCCTCGTCACGGACGCTACCTCACAGTGGCAGCCATCTTCCGCGGCCGTATGTCAATGAAAGAAGTGGATGAGCAGATGTTGAGTGTACAGAACAAGAACAGCAGCTACTTCGTTGAATGGATTCCCAACAATGTCAAGACCGCTGTTTGCGACATCCCACCCCGTGGTCTCAAGATGTCCGCCACCTTCATTGGCAACAGCACAGCCATCCAGGAGCTGTTCAGGAGGATCTCTGAGCAGTTCACTGCCATGTTCCGCCGCAAGGCCTTCCTCCACTGGTACACCGGCGAGGGAATGGATGAGATGGAGTTCACTGAGGCCGAGAGCAACATGAATGACCTGGTGTCTGAGTACCAGCAGTACCAGGATGCGACGGCTGATGAGATGGGCGAGTATGAAGAAGATGAAATAGAGGACGAGGAAGAGGTCCGTCATGATGTTCGCCACTGATTGTAAAACACTAACATGACATTGAGTGGAAGAATCCCTTATAAATATGAATTGTTGTTGGACAGCGCAGTGAGATCATATAAGGTACTTGAGAGATGCAGGTGTACAAATACAAATTGCAGTGTGCAGATCACAATAAAATATAGCTATTAAGCTTAAAATAATATTGCATAAACATATGGCTTATACTGACAAAAATCATGAGTGGTGCTAGAAACAAAGAAAACGTGCAAGTACTATAATAATAGGTTTTAGTCACGCTTTGCCAGTTTTAAAAATAAGTACAGTCTTGTTCTCAAACACAGTTTTGTAACATACTCCAATGTGCATTCACTGTTCAAGTCTCCAATAAAGTTCAAGTCCTGTCAATACTTGTAGTCTTTTTATTTAATATTTATACAGGTGCAAAAATAAGGGCAAACTTGCCTCTGCATTTATTGATAAATATTTCCTTGTTTTAGGTGTTTTGTGTTATAATGTTTGATATTTTAACCATAAAACTCTGTATATTATTCATAAGACGTCCTTTTCTTAAGGGCTGATGGTATTCTATATTTTTTATTTGTCAATAAATACCATTAAACTTAAAACCAGCACACAATCTAATAATACATGTACTATAAAGTATTATATGTTTAGCTATATCTGCCTGTAGATTATTAATTTGTGCCAAAGACAACAATTATTGCCCAGAAACTATTAAAAACCCATTAATAAACTGCAAAGACGCCCGAGATGACCTGCTCCATCATAACAATAAACCTGGGCAATGTTGTTTATTTTGAGTTCACATAAGAATTCTTAGTGCAGTAAACAGTACAGAGCTTTTTGAGAAAATAACTTTTTAAAGATTGAGGAAAATATGTGTGATTGTGAAAAGGTTGCCTTTTCACCTGGTTCCTGTTCCACAACATTAACAGTGTTATTACTTTTAATTATCAGTTTGCATGACTGGGATGATGCGATACAAAAGAAAAGTCCAAACATGTTTCCCCATCATTTCCTGTTGTAGGGAGGATCAGTCACGTAGTTCTTCAGTTGATAAAATGTTATATATGGTGTGCTCATCTGTATGTACTGATTGCCAAAAATGAATTATGATGTCAGAAGTAACTTAAATGTCTTGTATTTATGGTGGGTTCATTACTTTATTACTATTTTGGATGCTTACTAAGTTCAGCTCACCCTATCCTAATATGGTGGTAGGTGTGGCTGAGAAGGTGAAATGTTATTCATCTTAGAAAGGAAGGGTGTTGGCAGATTACTGTGAGGTTGCTGTTTTGATTTGCTTGGGGTATTTTTGCTTCAGAATATTTAAGTTTTATTGATATTCCCGAAATAAATTGTTGTCACTTTTTTCGCACAACTCCTGCTTTTCAACCTGCTTCATCCCTTTTCAAGGTTTTGTGGTGCAAAACCACCTAATTTGGCCACTATATGGGGTGCCAGACCAGTACAACAGAATAAGCTGTTTAAACATCGAAGGAATGTGCTTGGGGCTCTATGTTAAGTATTAAAGGACAACTGCATTATAGCTTTTGTCTTTTGGGGATTTGTCGGGAATTATAAATATATAGAATTCCCTAGCCCTATCCTTTAATGTACTGGAATGTAAAAGGAACATCGATTAGCAACCTCATATCAGATCCATTTTGCAGTATATAAAGTGGAGAGTTATACGGCTTAACATTTTACTAGAGAGAGCCTTGCTTCATTTGAATTGCCTAAAAGTGTCAAAGCCATTGTAAAATTATTTTTGAAATCTTCACTCCAAGCAACCAGGGAGGATCCCATAGTGACAGTAAATAAATTGATGTCAAAACACGTCATAACATTCTTGAAATGCACACGATGAAAGTGACATGATGAAACTTGCTGATATGACGCTTGGAATCATGGCAAGATACTTTGCCTTTCAAAAAGTTAGAGTAGAAGCTGGCTGTTGAAATACTCTCCAAGGGGTTTGAGGTTTTCAAAACCAAAATGTTACGTCCCTCCACACCCCAGTCATATCTGTGAAAGCAAGAATGTTCCATTTGACATGTGGTGAAACAGATTAAAATGACTGATGGCTTTAGCAACACCAAGAAAAACACGAACCTGAGTACTTGACATTTTTTGCCCTGGACCCAAGGGAAAAACATTTATCATAATGGGCCTTATATGTGAAAAAATGAACTAGAAGTAACACATTTTTTGTGGGAAAATGAGGCGCAATAAAATAAATATGGAATTGAATTAAATGATCCCAAACTTGCAGAGAAAAAGAAAAAAGATCTTTGCTAAGTAGAACTGAGTTACCGCTCTGATTTATTACAAGCTTACACATCAAATACACACAAATAAAAATACGCATTTATGAGTGTTAAACTGTCTGAACAAACAGAAGTCCCTTTAGAATAGTTTTTACTCTTTAATAGGCAACCTGAAAAGATACATTGTTAACTTTTCCCAACTCAACGGAAAACTCTTTCCTGCTGTATCTTATACTTTACATTTGCCTACAAGGATACATACCTTAGAGACAGTATGCAGCTTGTGCACCATCTAACCAATACCATACGCCCATCTGTTGAAAGCATGACTGGTTAACTGCATAAAAACATATTACAATTGAAATTAAAACCTCTCATAGCTCAGCTCTAAGCTCTGGTTAAAAGATGAAAACTACACGCAGGCCTTTCATGCAGCCAAATCTTTAAATCAACTCTAAGCCATTTTCAGACTACCTGCATTGTAAATGACCTGGATACTATGAAGGAGACCTGCTTTTCTACTTTCCCTTCTTTGTTTATGTTAAGCATGACTGAATCATTTTTGGTCAGCTACAAAGAAACCAGTTGTATTTGTTCTAAATATGTATATGCCAATTGTCTACTTGGAAGAGCTTGAAGCTATATTCTCTTGAAACCCCCCCTCAATGAAGCATTTTACAACGTTTTGTGGTTTAGGTATAAAAGATGACTGCAAATGTGTAAATGGATTTATATATACATTAAGATGAGCAATTAAAAAATGTAGTATTTATATATATTTTTCAAAAACTTTTAGAAAGAGGACTTTACAATTCTGTTTGAGGGTGTTTTTGTGTTTTTAGCGGGTGAAAATCCAAACTCAATTTGTATTAATGATGCCGTTCCTGTTAAAAGCTTAATGACGGGAACATTTCAACAGTAAAATAATGTCCCTTAACTAAGGCACTGAGTAATGTAATGTGCAGTTTCCCTGCACTTGTTACAACACACACAAACAGGTCAATACAATGGCTTTTTTTAATACAATTTTATTACGACAGAAGGTGCAAAACTTAAAAAAAAAAAAGAAGAAACATCCTCATTATCATGACCAATACTGCTTTGATGAAACTATAGCATCTATGGCATTTGCAAATCTATAGCAAGAACAGCAATATCAAACAGCGTAATTTAACCAAATGTTTTCAGTGCTTGGCAAGCTCATCCACGTTACCTATCTACACACCCAACACCCTGTCCCTTTCACACACAACAGCACACAACAACAAATGAAAACAATCAAAAGCCTGTCTTAGTTAAGTAAGTATGGCACAATATACATTTGTTAAAATAGGTCCATCAGCTATTGTACACATTATTTTTGTTAAGATTTGGCACAAAAATATTTTGGGTCTTTACAATTTAGAAAAACCACATGCTCTGTAGAAATAATACAAATAGTGCAACGATAAAATAGAGAATGTGTGCAGTATTCTCTTTGGTGTATAGTCTGTGTTGACTTCTGTGTGTTGTCTAATGTTAAAAACAGTCTGCTCTCTTTACATTACATCATTCACACACTTTTCTCCGGTCTACAATAAGCACAGCCTTATCTATCTCCCAAACAGAGGCCACCCATATAGTATTTGTAGATTAGTTAATATAAATAACTTCAACAATTTGTAAAAGGTCAGCGACGCATCAGGCATAGCTAAAGCTAAACTATTACAAAATGTAACTATAGCATCTTTAGAATTACAACACATAATCAAAATACAGATCTTAGAGAACGGAATCTAGTGTTCAAAGCATATATAGAAACATGAAAAATTACAGTAGCTACAAAACTTTGTTTTACCTCTGCCTTAGTCCTTCTCTCAGTAGTTGTACCGCTAAATGCTAACAACTTACGGTTTAATTATAGTCATTTCAACTTTCAGTAAGCGACTAAAGTTTAGGATTCTATTAACTTTCTGTCTTGTTATACTCAAGAATAAGTTAAACAGTTTAGATTTTAACTGTCCCACAGTAGATAGTAATCATAGTATAACTGTACCAATTACTGTACATAACTTTTTGTCAGATGCTGAGATATTTGGATTTTAATAATAACCTTGTGAGACTTGAGGAGGACAAACCAGGGAATTGACATTTAACTGCAATAGGAGATAGGTCAAACACTGCTCCATTTTATATACTTGGCTGTTGCTGCCCTGAAGCTATTTAGTTTTGCACCTGAAATATAAACATTGCGTTTATGGCTGTTCTTTGGTGCCTAAATGGTCATTGTTGAGACCAAGTTAAGAGAGTTATCACACTTGCCAAGGTTTTTCCTCTGCCGGGTTGAAAGTACAGAAGTGAAGACAGAGCCTCCAAATGTCAGAGGGTTTGCCAAATTCTATACTTTACACTAATGTTGACAGAGCCTAATTTTAGCAGGTAGCATACAATAAATCGATTAACTTTTTGGCAACAATAAATATCATTTTAATAGTTTTAGTATGGACAAATATATTTTATAGCTAACACTGTCATGTAGTCAAGTTAGCTATACTGAGCAGCAGTGTTATCACTAGATGAGGACATACAGTATTGCACTTTTGGTCAAGTAGAGTAAACTATTATTTTACCAGATTTACCACAATTTGTCCATCTGTATGTACATATACCCCGGTATAGTTCAGTTTACTAAAATGTACCGGAGTATATTTAAAAAGAAGCATGAAATTAGTGGATATGCTCAAATAAAATATTGGCTGCTTTAAGCTCTTGTATTCGATTCAATATTTCTCTCAGTGACTGAGATCTTCTTACGTTGCACAACCACTTTCTGGCTTCCCTTTGTTTTGGGTGTGGCTTTCAGAGCAGTCTCCTCATTTGACCCTGTAGAGCCGTGAGAATTTGAAGAAATTCTCTGAGTTTGAAACTGCAAACCTTGCCCTCTGACCTCCAAACCCTGCCCTGCAGACCCATGTCCTGTCTGAATAAAGCCCTGGGCTATGTGTGCTCCTTGCTCTCCACCTGAGGACGCATTCTCCACCACCAACATTTGTCTGGACCTGGAGAGAGTTCCTTGTGAAATGCCTTGTACTACTTGCCCTGCCATTCCACCCATTCCTACTTGTCTATCCACAAGGACCATACCCTGAGAACCTTGTAGACCACCAACTTGCATCAGCCCCTGACCTAACCCAACTTGTCCTACTTGACCCACTGCCCTGTGGGTTCCCCCTGTCACAAGCAGCATTTGGGGATTGGACTCAACTACATACATGGGCGTGGCGGCATAGTACATAGTGGGCTGCTGTATGAGCATCGTCTGACTGGGAATCATTATCTTGTCTTGGACATGTACAGTGGGAACAGATGCTGAACCCTGGGCTATCTCAGTGACTCGCTCCTCCTGCACAAAAGTGGAGGATTCAGATGCTAAATTAGAGGTGTTGAGAGTGCTGATGTTGACGTGGTCCCTGTCCCTGATTGTTTCTGAGTGAGTGCTTACATGTGTGTGGGTGGAGGGGGAGGGCCAAACAGGAGAAACTGGTCTGGGTGGAGAGACAGAAACCCCTGCATCCACTGACTTGCTCACAAAGGTTGACCCATGACAAACCTCAGCCAGGGTTTTAAATTTAGGCCCAAGGTCATTGAGGAACGCAAGGTCATCGTCATTCTCAAGAAGGCTGCAGCAACCTACAGAACCCGCCAGGGACCCCTGACCCTCATAGTTATAGGCGAGCAGAGCGTCCTTCCCCTGGGATTGTTGAGCAGCATGGTTGTATTTCTGCAAATAAGAAGATAAGCATATCATAAGTTTTCGTTATAACAACAAAAATCAAATTTAAAGTTGTATATTTTAAATGGTATTTTCTATGTTTTGGGCTGGGGTTTTATGTACTCACACTTGAATAATACTCCTCCAGGTATTGGTTAGACAGAGCCATCCCATCAAAGGCCCCAGACCCAGCCCAAGCCCCGGCCCCAGACCCAGCCCAAGCCCCAGCCCCAGCCCCAGCCCCAGCCCCAGCCCCAGCCCCAGCCCCGTAACGAGAGAAACTATGTTCTTGTCCTGTCATCATCCCACCATCAACGTAGTCCATTCCGCTATTATAACGGTTGTACATGTTCTTCTGCATGTTCTCGGATGTCAAGGTGTGACCAGCGCCTAAACCTCCTCCACCAGTCACCCCAGATATGTACATGTTATCCCCAAAGTTGTTGATGTCCTTGATATTCACATGGCTTCCACCATGATCCAATGGTGCAAGCAGAAGCGGAACTTCCTGCAAGAAATAATTGAGATCTTGTTAGAGATGCAACATTTAGGCAAATTTGGTTGACACATTTTGTTAAACTAAATATATCTAAACATTGTTTAAGTATTGTATATTAATCAAAGCACCTTGTCTTCTCCTTGTCCCTCAGTGTGATATGAGATGAGCTGTTGTTTTGTATCATATGGTATAGCCTTGAAATCTCCAATAGCTGCTGCACCTCCGCACAGGCAGAACAGCAGCAACAGGGGCAGCACTGAAAAATAAACGTTTTACACCATGTCAACAGAAATTGGTAAAAAAAAGAAGTAGTAAGGTAAAGTAGTAAGTTCAAATAAGGTCCAACCAATTATCATTTATTTACTTTTTAACAGAGGGCTTTAACTCATGTATAGACATAACAAATAATTGTGAAATGCATGGTAGATTATTGATCTGCCACGCTATCTAGTTAGGTATGGCAAACTTGTAGAGTAAAGTTAATGATTGTTATCAAAATAACCAGCCAGAAAAAGAAAGTAAACAAGAAATACTCACACAACAGAAGCAGCAGGCCTAGGAGCATAAGCAGGATACCGGGAGCTCCAAAATCGGCTGTCTTTGGAGTACGCTCCCTACAGGTTTTGGTTTGGTCTTTGCAACTGCACACCTCTACATCCACAATCTCCACATCAGCACAGGACTTTCCCTGCTGGTCTTTGACCTCCACTGCCACTTTGTAAGTGCCAGGCCACAAGTTGGCATGGTCTCGCAGAATGGATGTCGTTGCTGAAGAAAAAGGAAACTCACATTTTAAAATGTACTGCATGAGTGTGTTTGCTTGTGTCTACAGTAATGGATTCATTTCTTTATAAAGAAAGATGGACCATTTTTTAACAACTGACATGAACTTGTCATGGCTGTAAAAAACAATGCCCCAAAACTAGAAAAAAAAATGCTTGCCAATTGTCTGTTTAGTAGAGGAAATGAACAAATCAAAGAACTATACAGCATTGAAATGATCATATGCTGGAAAGTCTATAGAATTCTAACATTTTGAAGCCGAAAACTATAGCTGAATATGGAATATGGTGTAAACATGTCCCTTTTATGTAATTATTAAAGAACACTAAAGCCAAATACCTATTTTACATATTTACTTTAGAAGTCGTAATCGTAATCTTACCATTAAGACTCTCCACAGTCCATTTCCCCTCGCTGCTCCCCCCAATCACAGTGAACTCAAATGGGGCAGAATTGGGGAATTCGTCTTGGTCTACGGCTGTGACGTAGATCACTTTATGCTCGAGGCACATTGTTTGCGTTGTAGCGATCAGTGTTGGACAATGATCATTAAAGTCCTCCACCTGAATTGCTATGGTCCCCGTGGCTGTTTTTGAGGGATTATCTGAAATCCAATGGAAAGAGAGATTAATATTACATTTGCAACATACCACTGGAGAATAGTGTTACATTTTGAAGAACTAACCATCGGTGATGCATATAATTTTGGCATAATATGTCCCATTGATCAAGAAAGTGGACTCTCGGTCAGGCAGTTTATTCAGCCGGATATCTGCTGTCTTTTCATCAATAATCAACCAGTTGTCATCATCTTTGATTTTAGCATACCTATACGAAAAACCATATATGTGAGGACAGAAAAACAAGCTATTCATGTAAAACCCATACATTTAGAGATATCTTTACATCTGTTCGTCTTTCACTTTGTGGCCATACCTTACGTTGGTGGCTGTCTGTAGGGTATCACTGTCAATAGCAGCATAGTTTCCGATGATTTTGTTGATGGAGACGGAAGTTTGGTCCTCAGAGAGAGTCACCACTTTGACACTTGGTTGAAATCGGGGACCTTCCTTCTCATTGACCACATTGATTTTAACGGGGTAGGCTTTTGAGACTACAGACCCAGATCCAGACCCAGATCCAGACCCAGATCCAGACCCAGATCCAGACCCAGCCCCTGTCGCAGAACCCCCAGCCCCTGTCGCAGAACCACTGCCAAAACTGTACGCTGCTTTGTTGGAAACAGCTACTTCCAAGTTAAGCGACTTAATCTCCTCATAGTCCAAAGCCTGCAGATTTGAGGATATTACACAGTTTGTTGGTGAGATTATCTTGTATAGTTAAGTACAGTATACTCCTACTAGGTCAAATGAAACTGTTTACAAATTACTCTCTTACCTTATTGATCATGATAATTCCTTCATTGGTCTTGGAATCAGTAGTGATACTGAAATAGCCAGCCTCATTCCCTGAAATGATTGTGTACATAGCTTCCCAGTTTGCAGTGTTAATTAGATCCATGTCAAGGGCTTTCACCCTCATCACTTCCATATTGACCTTGTTCTCCTGCACACTCCCTTCATACTGCAAATAAAATACATGCAAACTGTTGCTTTAGAACATTATTAGGAAAAGACAATAAAATGTATTAATGTATTGATAAATTATTCACACCTACCGATTCTTTTTCAAGGGTTGGAATATTGTCATTTATGTCCAGAATTTTGACCGAAATTTGTTCACTTCCAATGTTTCCTCCAGCTTGTCCATTCATGTCTGTAGCCTGTATAGTCAATGTATATGTATCTTGTCTCTAAAGAAAATGCACCAAGTCACATATTATAGTTTTCATTAAAACTTGTTGAATTATGTTTATGGTGAAAGATATAAACGGTTCATCTCCTACTACTGCTTTACAACTTGAAAGCTCTTCCATAGAAAACAATTGTTTGTACTAGACAACTAAAGAAGAATTTCAAGTCAGTAAAAAGCCTCACCTCCCTATCCAGACTGTTCTGTTGAACCATGACCTCTCCAGTCTGAGAGTTGATGAAGAACATCCCAGCTGAGCTGCTCTGCTCCACAATACTGTAGAACATCCTGGAGTGGATTGTGTTCTTCTGATCAGCATCCGTAGCAATTACTTTCATCACAACAGTACCTAGGAATCACCAAAGGAAATCAATTAAGTATCACATCATTGAGTGCAGGTTAAAGAAAGTTGCCTCTACAAAAATACTGTAGATGACTACCTATTGCGCTCGATTCATTGACATATCCAACTTGTTGTACTTTGATGATCGGTGGGCAGTCATTTTCATCCAAAACAGTAATGTTAAGGTCAATATCCTTTTCAGCTAAGGTCCCGTCAGCGTATTTCGCCACACCTTTCAACTATAAAAAGGAACATTAGAACTGGTTTACCATTTGCGCAATGTACAACTTGATATTATGACGGTAAACTCTTTACATTTTACAAATAGGATTTTTAAGGGCTTTTACATGAAAAAAGGGGGTCTCCTCTCGGTCCAGAACAGAAAAGATTTTCACAAAGCCAGTGTTGCGGTCCACACCAAATACACCAACAGGTGGCTGGTCAACTCCAGGCCCTGATAGATAATACATTATCCTTGTGTAGTTCTCCTTATCGGATCGAATCTGAAAAAGAAATACACAAACACAAAATGAATCCAACTTAACTTGAAATCTTAGACCTTATGATATGCTGTTGTGAACAATGTTCTAGTTCATTTTTTTAATTAAGATTTTACATATGATCAGCGAATACAAAGAGATCTAAGAATTTATTAATGAAACTAGACAGTCTTTAGACGACAGGTGAGTGTTTGTCTAAACATTAGACAAAGATGTACTCAATAGCCGCGTTCACACCGCAGTACTTTTCCCACTTTAGTTCCGATATATTTCCGAAATGTCGCGTTCACACCAAAAAGAGCCGGAACTAAAATGAGTTCATCAGAACCCTTTTTACCCCCTGCTAGAGAGCAGGTACTTTCGTGGGAGAAAAATGTTCCTATGTCTGATTGGCTGGGTGGAATGCACACCACACCCCGTAAAACTCCCAAAAGGTTTTGTGAAGCCGCCATTTTATTATCCTCGCATTAGCATTATTAGTATTAGCATTAGCCCAGCACACAAACGCAGAGAGACTAACTTATGGCAACACAAAATAAAACATGGGAGCGGTGGAGATGAGGAGGTGTCGGCGTTCTGGCGATTTACTCGGAAGGCTTCAGTAGAAGCTGCTGGGAATCCCAGCAGCTTCTACTGAAGCCAGTCCCCAACCCCGGGGACTTCCAGTCGGGGACTTCGGGTGGCAGTATACACCGTGAAGTTGTTTGCGGCCTGCCAGTAAACCCAAAGCAGAAGAAGAAGAAGTGACGTCAGCGGCTTCATTTGCCTAATCCTTCCCCAGGAACTTATTCCGGTGTGAACACGATCTGTACTTAGTTCATGAGAACTAAAGAGTTCTCATGAACCTTTGTGGGAAAAGTACTGCGGTGTGAATGCGCCTATAGTCTCATTAGCCGCTTTCACACCAAGTACTTTGCACTTAGTGCCAGCACTTAGTACCCCATGGAACTAAGTACAGATCGTGTTCACACCGGAATAAATTCCCTGAGGGAAGATTACGCAAATTAAGCCTCTGACGTCAGTTTTTTTTCTTCTGCTTTGGGTTTACTGGCAGGCCGCAAACCACTTCACGGCGTATACTGCCACCCGAAGTTCCCGGCCGGAAGTCCCCGGAGTTGATCGCCAGAACGCCGACACCTCCTCATCACTCCACTGCATGTTTTTTATTGTGTTGCCATAAGTTATTCTCTCTCCGTTGGTGCGCGGGGCTAATGCTAATGCTAATAATGCTAATGCCAGCAAATACAATGGCGGCTTCACAAAACTTTTCAGAGTTTTACGGGGCGTGGTTTGCAACTCGCCCAGCCAATCGAAATTGGTACTTTTTTCTCCCCAGGATAGTACCACCTCTCTAGCAGGCACTAAAAATGCCTGCTCCCATGTGTCGCCAGAACGCCAACACCTCCTCATCACTCCACCGCTCCCATGTTTTTTTTTGTGTTGCCATAAGTTATTCTCTCTCCGTTGGTGCGCAGGGCTAATGCTAATAATGCTAATGCCAGCAAATACAATGGCGGCTTCACAAAACCTTTCAGAGTTTTACGGGGCGTGGTTTGCAACTCGCCCAGCCAATCGAAATTGGTACTTTTTTCTCCCCAGGATAGTACCACCTCTCTAGCAGGCACTAAAAATGGGGGTAAAAGTTCTCGGAACTAAGTACTCTTTTTGGTGTGAACGCAAAATTCCAGGCACTATCGGAACTAAACGGGAAAAGTACGGGTAAAAGTACTCCGGTGTGAACGCGCCTATTGTGTGTCCTATAATGACTCATGACCATGGGAGTACTGTTGTCACACACACTCAGAGATTAAACTAGGCTTAGCGCATACAAAGGTGACATGAAGGTAAAACTAATGTGGGAAATACCATGACTGACAATAGTTATTGTAAGACATGTAAAGTTGCTGTGACTACATTCAATAGCTGCAGGGCTGTGAAAACATGTTTGAACAATCATAAATACCTCATTGGGATATTTAGTTTTAGTATAATTATTTAGAAATTAATAAAAAAATAGGTTACACACTCTAGCAATACTCTGCAGGCCGGTGTAATCATGGTTCTCCTTCAACTGTCTGGGAGCTATGATCCATTCTCTTTTGTGTCTGCGTAATTCCTGCCCTTTTCCTTCGGCTGACACAGGAACAAGCTGCAGGTAAACAAACAGGGAGGAAAAACGTGATTAATGTGTACAAAATACATTTAAAAAAAGTCAAAACTGCATATTATTGTTGCTCCTGGCCTTTACACATATGGCATTAACTTACAAATAATGTATTATCTTGAGAGGTTAGGCTCATTAGGGTTCTTAAAGAAAACACCAAGATGTATCCTCACAGCAAATTGATTCTTTCATTGTCAACAGAAATATGGTCTGTCAATCATCATGTTAACTATACAGTATGTCATCGTCTCTTAGGAAAACTGCATAACTTTACACAACATAATAGGGACATGGTAATATCCTTTAAAAAAAAATCAACATCTTATTTGCCTCAAGGGCTCTTGTACGTAAAAAAAATCATCAGGGGTAATCGATGTGCGACAACGTCTTGATCAATAGCCTACCGTATTTGCCAGACCAAGTTATGGTTAGTTATTGTAGGAAATAAAAAAGAACGGTTCCGTGAACTCCCAGCATTGTTCACCAGTGTCCATGGAGAAAGCGCATTTTAACAGCAAAGCCGTTGTTTTTACTTTAACTACCTGAACAACTGTATCTAAACGTTTAAGTCCCACCAGAGAACACCCATACCTGTTTTAAACCCGGTACACACCCGATAATGGATATGTGAACAATGTAAAGCGCCTATTAAATTGTTTACTTACAGTCAGGAAGAACACCAGCAGAATACAAATGCTGCATTTCAGCAGTGTAGCCATCGCCTTCAGAAATATAAACTCCGTTAATCCTCTCCTCGAAGTGAAATCTTGTCAATCTGACTCTCCGTGGTCTGGCGTTGGTTTCGTACAGACTTTGACCCTCCGGAGGGGAGGAAGAACTTTTACAGCGAGAGGCGGTTCCTCTCCGTTTGATTGCTCACAGTTGCTGATAACAGGCGGAGAAAGGAGGAGGTTCAATCCACGGTGAGCTGTAATATGCATGTGCAGTCTATTGTCTTCAGAACAAAAGAGTGGACTGAGAGGAAATCCTTCCAGAATCGGAAAAATATGTGTCCATATATGTGAATCTGAAGTGGTTATTTTTTAGATAATGCTTGTTTTATAAAAACAATCATATACAATAAATGTCCACCTTGACTTTGCAGTGTGGGATTATCATGTGATTAAATCTACTTTTTCATATTTCTGATTTTGATGGTGATTTAGTATATTTAAAAAGTATTGGATTCCTCAGAGACCAACTTTCCCACTCATCTGTTAAACATCACCTGTGCCTGTGAAATTCCCAGAGTGCAGCACTCATAAACGGTGAGCTGCACACTGGACTGTGTAAATGTGTGTGGATCTAGGCGTTGGTGAGTTTGTTTAACAGGGAAACACAGAGGGAAAAAAGTTGTTGTTGCCAGGATACATGAAACATTGAATCCTCATGGTCAACGGTGTGTGGGAGAGAAGAAACAGTATCGGTAGGCTATTATCTTGCCTGATTAGGCCAATCGTTTCTACAACTAAATTCTGATGAATTTGTCTGATGGTAGTGAGAGAGTGATTGCTTTTGGAGCAATAAACTTTTTTATTCATTGGCTTCATCTTTATCAGCTTCTAACAGAAACATAGGCACAAAGGTGAATGGGTGGTTTTGACAGTTAAATATGATATGAGTCAAATACATAAAAAAATGTTGCACCTCAGAAAAACATTTTTGCACATTCTTGCACTGTGTGAGATTGTAGATATCAATTTCCTTAATCATAATTTAAAAGTATTGCGTTTCATGCCTGTCCAGATTGAGTGACCAAACCACATTTATTACATTCTGCCTAAATTGCCCCCAACAAAACACATTCCTGTTTGTGAATATGGCTATTTTTATGGTATATTTGCTATCAGTAAGGCTATAATCTACGCATTAGTTGCACTAATGCAATGTAATATGTCAAAAATAAACAGTGTAACAATTTTCAGAAGACACATGCACATTATCTTGCGAGCTGAATTATAATATAATGTATGTCATATTTTCATATTTGGAAAGATAACACTATACTGCAGTTTTTTCCCCTGTAGGTACACCTCACAACTAATGGCAGCTTTATATTACATCATACCTTCAAAAAGTTAGTTTTTTGTTGAAACTCTTAAAGAGAGGAGTTGATTCAACCATCATTTATAAGGGTATACAACATATGTAAACATCTCTTAGCATATCTCAGTACAATTCAATAGTAAACATTACCATGAAGTTGAGTGAAACATTTCCAAAACAGTTTGAGCATGAGAGAACATTTTGTAATGGGATCACAAGCTGTGATGCCAAATAGGGTCAGGGACTTTAAGTGGAGAGGGGGCCAAGCGGTGGCCTGTGGGGGGGTAGGTGGCATTTTGACTCCATTGCTCGGGTCACATCCAACTTCGAACTCAGCCTTTATTTTGATCCCATCAACACACCTGTAAAGTTTGGTGACTTCATCTCTAACGGTTGGGAGGCTATTAAGTTTACAAATTACCAACACAGACTCATGAGGTGAAAACAATAGCTGTAGATGTTTCAGATGGGTGTGCCTGGCTCTAATAATCTGCTAACATAAGTGGTTTCTGGCAAGCACAATTATTTTATGGTTGATTACAAAGTTTCATGCATTTCAATGTGACAATGACACACTAATAATCAGACAGTTGTTAGTCACGTATACTGTACGTCTAGAATCATCAGTGACCAACTTGTCTCACCCAAATACTAACCATCATATTTGACGTGAACGCTCCCACCCTGCCTCTCACTGGCACCCACCCAACAGGAGTGGTGAAAAGGGTGGAGCAGTTGCATTGTAACAAATGTTTTGATTGCAGCACAAATATGTCACTATCATAAATAAAAAAATTGGATCTGTCTTAGCCTTTAATTACGTCAATGTGCCTGAACACATTATGAAGCGTACATATGAGTACACAATGATTCCTGGCAGCACACACGATTTCTTTCGTCATGCAGGCGGTTTTTGCCAAACTAGGTTTCACAACATCTTATTGATACAGGTGTCATACCTGGGAAGCTAATCAAAGTACCAAACAGATGTGTTCAAAAGACATAACAACCCCTGCTATCTTTTAAAGTTCAAAATGGAGACTGCTGAAAAATGTATCATCTTTAGCTTTTATTGATCTGTACTAATTAGCCGAAAGTCCATTATTCAGTATTGCTTTGGTTATGTAAAGAACCTAATACACCTGGTTTTACCACAGTATATCACAATGAGTGGAGAGTGTCGGAGTGAGAGGTCAGACATCCTGTCACCAATAGAATAAGCAGAGACAAAATCAGTAGATTTGTCCAAACATATGTAAGATTTGTACTCGATACACACACAGAAGCCTGAGTGCAACTATAACTCACTTTCATTTTAGCTTGGGAGTGACACAAGAGGGTATTTTGCTGAGTCTGTTTTGCATATTAAGACACACAGCACCAAGCCCTTTCATTATGTCTACGCCCATGAGTCACAACAGAGCAGTCTTCCTGACATTTTTCTCACCTTTCCTGTTGCAACTCCTACGTAACCTGACTTCCCTATGCACTTTTAAACAAGTCTCCCTACCCCATTACACATATTGCTGGCTATGACCACTCTCAATTTTATCAGCAGTTTATACAGATAGTGAACGCTTCACTGTGGGAAGAGAGCCTCCCCCACACCAGGCTTCATTCAGCTCACATTCCTGTGGCGTTAAGTGAGGAGTGCAATTCAGTTCCTCCTACCAGAATGCTCCAGTGGAGAGGAGGGGCACGCAGAGGTCACTCTCCGAGGAGACCTGTGACAGCTTTCTCAGACCAGAAAAACAAGCAAACAAAAAGTCATTTTCCCAAGAATGGCTAAAAAAAGAAGTGTTTTAGAGAAGGTTTTAATGTTTTACACTTTGACATTCACTTTAAAGCTAACACCACTAAAACCACCTGCTCAGCATCAATATTAATCATGAAATGTACCTGCAAAACATTACAGTGATTTTATATGCACTTATGCCACATATGGTAGGCCTACACTAATATCATTCCATTTGATATTATAGTGTTTAGATTTGTTTGCATGTCTTGCAACGTTGTATAATTTATTACAGAATGACATTAGTTGGCAGACTATTTGAGCAATGTTTCCCCCTGCTGGCAGAAAAAAACTATGTTTAAGGGCAAACTTTTTTACAAGTTGACGTGTGCTCCTAGCAACAAGGTGCATTCGCCTCGCCTGCGGATCTCACCAGGGAGGATCTTAGTCTGGGTGTGGCAGCCAAGGTGTGTCTGTGTGTTGACTCACTGTCAGATACCAGGGCTTAGACTAAAGTCTGCACGTCCCATTCAGACAACAAGTGCAGGATCAGACGAGTTTCTTCTTCTTTTAACGCTGTGAGAAATATATCCTCTGTCAGTCTTTAGACGGTCAACTGCCGGACGAGTTCCGCTTTACGGCAAAGTGCATTGAACGTCTAAAAAATGGCGAATGTTTTAATTTTCAACCTCTGTTTGGCGTTGGTAAGTGATCCAGTTTATTTTTAATTCCTCTCCGAACAATTTTATCGATACACATGTGACGTAGGACTATCGTGTTAAGCGACTATATTTACGAGAATGTTGTTATAATGTAATTACTTGCTATCAAAGGGATTGTCACCGGTATTTGGTTCGATATTTAGAAATTCACTTTAGGACCGACTTTCTACTGTACTTCAGGTGCTGTCCGGTGTGGAGTCATGTTTTATTCCGGACTCTCTGTACATAATTGTGCCACGAACAATTCAGACCGGGCGAAAGATCACTACAGGTACTTTTTGCTTCTCCACAAATTCTTTATAGAACACCTTATATCAATTTCAGCTCGAATAATATCCTCCAGTATTGCCTGTCTGTTTAGTAGCCGCCCTTCACATTTACCCATTCACTCTCTCGCTTTTTTTAGTTGAAGTTGCCGACTGCGACACCAACTCTATGATCTTTACTTTGAGCGACCCCAATTTCCAAATAAGACAGAATGGAGCAATAGAAGCTGTAAGGCCTGTTTCAGTGTCGGGAACAGGGCGGACATTTTCTGTGTGGGCCCGGGACAACAATGGACCGGAAAGTGAGATGGTTGTCCACCTTGTGCACAGTGCAATACAGGGAAAAAAGGTAAGCTGTTGCAAGACTTTCCGAGTTTGTGTATCCTTTTATACAACATGTATACATTAACGTGATTTACCTGTTTGTGTTACAGCAGAGTCCCTCAAACTATCTGAAGCGAGTCAAGAGACGTTGGAGTCCACCACCCTTCAACATATTGGAGAATGATAAGGGACCTTATCCAAAAGCCATTGAAAAGGTAATCTTGAAAATATAATATAATTTGCATTGTAGTGTTTATAAGCTTAAACACTGCCTCTCAAGTCTTTATGGCCGCATTTTCAATACATGTCCAAGTATTCACTTTGTTTTCCTTTGTTTTCCTCTACCTGCCCCTTTTCACTCCCCTCCCCCCAACCTAGAAAAGTCTATTATCACATTACTTCCAGCTGTCTTTATGCAGTGATTTATTCCTCTAGACATAACGAAATTGTCTCTTGAAACATATTTAATTGTGTTATCATTTTGGGTTTCTGTTTTAGATTGTGTCGGACTCTGAAGCCCAGCATGACGTGTACTACACCATCAGTGGACCGGGTGTCAATCAGCATCCAGTAGGAGTGTTTTCTCTTAACAGGGAAACTGGGATGTTGACTATACACAAACCTGTTGATCGTGAGGAATTCCCAAGGTTTAAAGTAAGTGTAAAATTGGGCTGCAACATATGATACATGTCTTGGTGGATTCATCTGGAGATCATCTTAAAAAACAATTGATCCCAAAGTCAAACATTTAGATTCAACCCTTAATTTAAATAA